CCCTTTAAATGTAATTATTTTAATGGCTCCTTCTGCTCTCCAGCTCCTATTCTTTCCTGCCATATGGGAAAGTGGCCCTTCAGTAAGCCGCCCCTCACCTTAAAGGAGCATATCCGTCTTCACAGGGAGGTCCAGGGCCTTCCCACCCGACTCAGAACCAAAGAGTCCTAGAAGTTCATGATGGAATCAGGAATTCCCTCTCTGCCCACAGCAGTCCCACTGAGGAGGGGAGTTGCTCATCCTGTCTTTTATACGCCTGACCCCTCACAAACCACCACCAGCAACGGCTCAGTCTACCTTTAGGTCGGTGTCTCGGGCTCTCTGGTTCATTTCTCCTGCTGCGCTCTGACCCTCCATCCCGTTCCGATCTGCTGCTGTGCCGGCTTCTATCCCGCTCATCTGTCAAGAGTCACACGCAGAGCTTAGGAAACATGTGTCCCATCCCAACTTCCACCCGTCTTCACCCTCAGGAAAGGACAGGCCTTCCCACTCACTCACAGGTACAACCTGCACTGCTCTACTACGATCCATGGGCTCCTGACACTCACATGTCCCCATTCTTTCAAGGGGAAAAACTAGTTACTGGCTAGAAAGTTTCAAACTCACAGTAACAGTTACTTTCCTGTAAGAATTCAGAAAAGGATAGTTACAAGTCTATAGTGAGTAGCTGCTTTAAAAGTTACAAGTCTATAAGGTATAAAACTTAAACACTACTGAGCAAGGCCAGCACTGGACTATGTCTAGCTTTGCTCCATAGCACTGTCCTTTCTCTGTCATTAGCACTATTGTCAACTCTGGTTTCTCAGACATACTACTCATTATCACCTTTATCACCAAGTTGCATAATAAAAGGAAGACCACACATTCAAACATAGCAGCTATATTGCAAGTAACAGTTCTTAAACTGCCTGCTATTCCCAATCCCAACAGGGTCAAAACCAATCAGAATGACATTATGCAAATAGGGCTTCTTAATTTAATGGGCATTATAAAAACTCCTGCAACAGGAAAGATGCTGGCATGTTCATTCAAATACTTAATGGGCTATGGGACCTATGCTGGGCACCCTACCTCTGTCTCTCTTGCGGTCACCATCTCGATCCCGCGATCTCTCCTTCCGATCCTTCTCTTCTTTGGACGAGGCATAGACACCATGTTCCCGGCGCTCCCGCTCTCTCTGCCGACTACGTTCCCAAAACTCTTCGCTCACACCACCAGGGTGGGATGGAGTCTCTACCCGAGCAGAGCGATAATGTCTGAAACAGGGAGGGCAACAGGTAAAGGAGAAAAGCCTTGCCCGCCTCTGGCTGTGCCCAACGAGTGACCTGTCCTTTTCCTTCATCCCCCGGTACTGCAGGCTTCCATACGGCAACAACCCAAAGCATTTCTAACCACCACCATCTCTTCACTGGTCTCCTTTAAATGTTCCCCACAAATCTGAAGAATGTACCAGTTCCTACCTGCCCTCAATATTATAAAATCAAATAAATCCAAGAAAACTGAGAGATAAATGTGGGCCATTATTTCCTGGCCTCCATTTTCATTCCCTATGGGTCAACCCATCCTAAAGCCTTTACCTGTCTTTCCGGCTGCCTCGACCAGACTGGTCACTGCCGTCCTCCTCAGCATCCCTCTGGTCATCCTTGCTCTCTTCCCAGTCCTTGTAGGAAGAGACTTTGGATTTCTTCTTGTCCTCCCCGTCGTCTTTCTCCTCTCGCTCCCTCCGTTTCAGGGAGGCCAACAAGTCCAGTCCCAGCAATGAAGGGCGGGGAGCAGGGGCCTTAAAGACATGCTGCTCACTGGCTGCACTTCTGGTCTTGCAAATAAGACCGCCAACCTGAGAGTCCCCATCAGTGCCTTCCAATCTATGGATCGAGGTGTCTTCACTGGTGTCCTCCATGACAGGCTCTGGGATGTCTCTGGAAGGAAACAAACCATTTGGCGACGGACTTAAGAGGGGGAAAGGCTTAGCCCTGCTGTATCCTAAGATAGCTGTAGTCATAGGTATATTTAAGACCAGGATTTCTTAAGTACCTCTTGCTAAGATCCTTCCATCAAGTCATTGACAATCTCAAAAGATCACCCTAGTCCCACCTCAACACACATAAGAAATATACACACATTCACCCCAAATACCAGGATCCAAGACAGCATCCTCAGGCCTCAAAATGAAACACTTATTAGAGCATGATGACATCTATAAAGGGAGTGTCGGGGATTTGAAGTCAGAAACTCAAGCAGATATGAAGTCAGAAACCTCAGTGGGAACCCAGGCTCCTGATTATTTTCTACCTGTATGAGTGGAAGCAAATAACTTAATCTTTGGTTAGGCATAATTTCTACATCTATAAAATGGAAATCCTTTTTGCTCTAATCCATGGACTTCTTGTGAAAATCAAACAAAAGAGAATATGTGAAAGCTCTCTGTAACTATAAAGAGTTACATAAATGCAATTGTTACATTATATTCTTTGCTGTGCTCCTATGCTGTGTCCCTTGCCATTTTTTTTTTACATGAGTTCTTCTACCTCTCCCTCCCTTTAAACTCACAGAGACTGCAGAGATATTGGGGTACAAGGCTACCATCTATGTGATCCATACTTTACTAGCTTTTTTTGGACCAGTTGTATATAGAACTCAAAATCTGTTTAAAAATCATCTATGTTCATCAAAAACATTGATGAGAAGCACTAGGTTAGAAAATGGATGTTTCTGAAGAGTATTTATTTAGGTGGCTGTAAGATTTCCTGGTACTCCACTTGAAATCAATTCCTCTTTTCCTCCCATTATACACCATCCACTTGTGAACATACACCAATTCTGAGCGCTTGGATAATTCCCCTCATTCCAACAAGTCAGTGAAGCAAAGGCAGTGTCAAGGAGCGGTGTACCACCAGAATCCAGAATGGTTTGCACAGCTCCAATTAACGTGCACAGCTCTATGGAGGAATACAGTCAAACAGACTAGACACATAATATGGACACAGAAACAAGAGCTACGTTTTGAAAAATGTCATCAGGGGCCTGGCCTTGTAGGAAGTTTCCTCAGTGGTTAGAGCATCGGCCAGCCAACTGAAGGGTCATGGGTTTGATTCCCGATCAAGGGTCAAGGGCCAAGGGCACATATCGGGGCATGTGCAGGAGACAGCCAATTGATATGTCTCACATCAATGTTTCTCTCTCTTTCTCTCTCTCCCTCCCTCCCTCCCTCCTCCTACCTTCCTTTCTCCCACCCTTCCTTCCTTCCACTTTCTGAAAATCAATGGGAAAAAATATCCTCAGATGATGATTAGCAAAGAAAAAGAAAGAAAGGAGGAAAGAAAGAAAGGAGGAAAGAAAGAAAGAAAGAAAGAAAGAAAGAAAGAAAGAAAGAAAGAAAGAAAGAAAGAAAGATGTCGAGTAGGAGAAGGAAAAGCTGCATGTTGTTGACATCTGAATATATCCGTGAGAAAATCTAAGCAAGAAGGTGGAGCCGTACAGGCTCTGCTCGGAAGTCGTCTAACCTAGAAAATATTGGAATGCCATTCCCATGCCATTCTACGCAGGAGAAAGAGCCCTGACTTGTCTGTCTTGCTGATGCTGTACTCAATGCCTAGCAAAACACACGTTTGATGAATAAATGGATTAATGAATTTAAACTGATTAAAGGGAAACCGGAAGTGAGCCATTTGGAGAGACAGCAAGAGAAGATACCAGCGGCACTAGACAAGGTGTCTGACAGCAAAACTTAATTCGCTGCTGAGATGAATAAATAAGGAGCTAAGGGGCTGGATTCTGGAGAAGGACTAATGACAAACAGGCTACATGGGGTAGGAGGGGGGAAAAACAATGGAAGAAAGAAACTGGATTTACTCATTGAACAATTATTCATTCAGTACCTTCCCTGAGCCCATCGCTGTTCTGGGAAATAGGGACAGAGCAGAGAACCAACCAGACGAAAACCCCCGCCCTCTTGGGGTTAACATTCTAGCAGAGGAGATGGCCTAGAGATACAATGTGTCAGCGAAGAGGAAGGCACAAGGGCTCAGACGTCCGTGTGGGAGCGGGCTAATGCCGAGGCCCAAGAAGGGCGACCCGGGAAGCATCCCTGGCCGCAGAGGCCGCCCCGGGTCCGAGCAGAACAGAGAAAAAAGCCCGGCCGGGCAGGACCCGCGCGCATCCCTCGGGTAAGACAAGCCAAGTGACAGGGACCAGACTTCCCAAGCCCGGGCCCGACCTGAGCGAAGGACAGACACCCGCCGCCTGGAGCCGCCATGATCGGCGAAGGGCAGGTCCGGAAGGAAGAAGGGACACTCACCTCACCAAGCCCGACTCTCGGGAGGTTCTGTCCCGGATCCCGGGGCGCCGGCGCCGCCACCCCTCGCTCAGATCGCCTTAGAGAACCAAAACCTGCACCTTGAACGCCGCCATTATTGTCCCATAATACCTTGTGCGGCCCCTTCTATCCGTCCAAAGAGACCATAGAGAGCGACCCGGAAAATGCCGGTTCCTGGCTCCAGGCCCGGGACATAACGCGACCAGGCCCTCAAGACTAGAATGCCCTCCTCTGGGCCTCTGATCAGAGACACTTCCGAGTCTCGCCGCGACCAACCGCACCGGCCGGAGAGGCGAGGCCCCGCCTCTAGCCCGAGAGGGTGGGAGGGAACAGGAAAGAGGCCGGGCATGTTTAGTAAGGGCGGAAGTGACTCCACGGCTTCCGGTCAGAGCCGGTCAAGTGGACGGCGACTGAACAACCGGTTTCTTGGGCTACGCTGGTTCATCTACTGCGCCTGTGCGTTTTCCTCTTCCGTTTCCGTTTCCTGAAGTGGACCGCCCAGGGTTGCTAGGCAACAGCCCCGGGTTGCTTTGCATTAGGGTTCCTGAGCGCTTCCGGCCCGAAAAAGGAGCCGCCGGCGTCCTGACCTGGGAAAGGAGGCCGGGTCGCCGTCGGCAGTCCTGAAGTTGGAGGGAGGAAACTTGTACAAATAAAGTAAGTGTCGTCTTCCCTACCACGGACACCATTAAAGTTTAATCAGGGGCCCCAGTGTTTTTCAAGAGTGAACTGTATTTTCCACACCCGGCGGGGAATCCGGGTACCCGGCGGCCGACTTAAGTTGTACGCGCATTTTCGACCGCGCCGGCCGGAGGCGCCCCACCCCGGCCTCGTTCCAGGGTCCGCTGTGCGGACTGTTTTGGGAGGAAAAAGACGCGCACTCGACGTAAATAAAACTCCCCTGTCTGTCCGCACGCAGCGGTCGCCGCTGGTGGCGTGGGGGGGTATTCCTTCCCGGTTACTTTTGTTGGTAAGTTTGTGTGATAGTTAGGTTTTGTACCGGGACTGTGGAGTGTGGTATCACACTATTTCGTAACTTTTTTCTTTATCATGAGAACTTTACAGTATCTGCGATGTTCATCTCTGAGACAGTACGTAGTGACTTTCACAGTACATTGCAGAACTGTACTATCTTTTATTTCACCAGTCCCCTGTTAAATTGCCATGTAAGCTAATTCCAGGTTTTTGCCACTGTAAGTGGGATGAGTATCCTTTGTGTGTGTACATCTTTGTGCGCATGTCTGTTTCCTAAGAGCTGATTCTCAGACTGGAATGGTTGGTCCGGGAGCATTTCAGCTGTCTCTCACGGAGCGTTTTGCCTCTCTGCGCTCCAGCGGGGACTGTGAGTGCCTGCCCTTCATTCACACGCTTTACTTTTTTTTTTTAATCTTTACCAATTTAATGGCTTTTTAAAAATATATCTTTTAATTTGCTTTCCTTTGCTTACTGTAGTATATTTATGGTTCATTTGTTCTTCTTCTTTTGTGACCTCTCTTTTGGCATCCTTTGCTGTGGGCATTTTCTTAGGTTATTGTCTCAGTTTCTCTCTCCTTCCAACATTTATCCAGTCTCCACCCGCCCCCGCCCCCTTCCTCCTCTTTATCAGTAACATACAGGAGTTGCTGTTTGCTTAAATTCTAGTGGTGGGACAGGTTCATCTTCTCTTTGACGTTCCCTTTCATCAGTAATTTGTTCTACCACTCACATTTGATGAAGTCCCTCCTGACCGTCAGCTTCCCTGTTTAGAACAATTTCATTTCCTATATGAAGTTTTATTAATTCATATCTTAAAATGTGGCTTGTCTCACACACACACACACACACACACACACACACACATACACACACATACATAAACAGAAAAAGAAAGCCTCCCTTCTCATAGCATTAGCCAACTTTGGAACTGAATTTAAAATATCAAGTATATCAGTGGGTCTCGTGGATGGATGCAGAAATAAAGCTCCTTGACCCAAGAGTTTCTTGATCATAAAAATGGGAACTTACTATATGTAGTAGAAGGAACACTAGAGTACAGATTTGGTGGCCTGGCTTCCATTCCTAATTTTTGTAGCTAGAAGTGTAACTATAAGCAAACTAGTATGTAAAATGAGGGGGTTGGACTAGGCAGAGGGAGAGCAGTAGCTGAATCCCCTAATGCGGGCTGACCTCCTGCACAGCTGCCTTCTCCACCACACAATTCCGGTCACTACTCCCTTCCATGACTCCTCCAGGTGTAAGTGGGAACAGCACCCTGCTGTTACTCACCCCAGAGTATAGCACTGGACCCTATTCTTCTCCTATATCCTGCCTTCATGGGAGTCCCCCAGTTGCCAAATTTGAGAATGTCATCTTTTTTTTGCATGAAATACTGACTGGCTGAAAGGCTAATTGGGAAGTAAGGGAAGGAGGAAGCTGGAATGCCCATTGGTATTTTTAGTGAATGCATAGTAAAACTCTGGAAGATACATGAGAAACTAATGGAAGTAGCTACCTGGTGTGTGGGGAGAAATGGGGCAGCTGGACTAAGCCCGTTGAGGGGAGGGAGAGGGAGGGAGATTTTTCACGCTATTCCTTTCTATATTGTTGCTTTTTAAACTGGTGGACTTATTTGTCACTAGATTGTGCATTGGTTGTGTTCCTTTTACTTTTCTGATTCTGTGTTGTGATACTGTGTTCCTCTGGGGAAAAAACATGCATACAGTGTTGTCCCCAAGAAATGTAACACTGTAATAGTGTTACACTATAACAGCTGATGGCTCAACTTTGAAAATGAAGTGTATTGTAATAAACACTGCCTTTATAATTATTCAAAGTGTGTGTACATTTGGGGGGACCTATATTACCTACTCCAAAAATTAATTTTTAAAAAAAATGAGGACTCATGCCCTTAATCTGCCTTTACACATCGCAACTTTATTTCAGGACTGACAGTGAGGGATTCATTGGATTATTTCAAGATGAGCTTTCTATTGCCCAAGCTGACTAGCAAAAAAGAAGTCGACGAGGCAATAAAGAGCACTGCAGAGAAGGTGTTGGTTCTCAGGTTTGGGAGAGACGAGGATCCTGTCTGTCTGCAACTAGATGACATTGTAAGTAAATATTTAAAATAAATTGTTTTTTAATCTATACATTCTTACTTCAACATCTGCCAAGTCCATGCAGGAACGCAGGCAGGGTCTGGGATGGAGCTGTTCAGTTGTTAGTATGCTTTCATAAGAGCTGAACCCCTAAACCTGTGAATGTGCCGAATCTGTGCTGGATGTCCTTCCCCTCTAGCAGCTGTCCAAGCTCCACTTCACCAACAAGGCAGTGAAAGACCCGAAACATTATGAACAAGCATCTGTGAGCATTATCTCACAACACTGGCTTCATTACGACTACTGTTCCCCAGGGGAGAAATGAATGCCAGAGAGGTCAAGTGACGTCCCACAGGCACAGAACCACGAAATTGCAGAGCGGGGTTTGAACTCTGTTTTCTCTGTCTGCAAGTCTGCTTTACTAGTGTGCTGCTCTAGCGTGCGCCCGATGATGATCTCTGACTTCACAACCCGTCTTCACACTCCGGTGAATAGGAAGGGCAGTTTGGGACAGAATAGGTTTATTCTTGTGTCTGTTTATTATGGAGAGAGACTCACTCCAGAACTAAGACCGCTGTTCTATTGCTGATGTCACTGTTATGTCACTGTTATGTTTATTATGGAGAGAGACCTACCCCACTATTTCTATTGCTGACATCACTCTATGGATGGAGTGTAAGAATCCTCATTATCGCGATTAAATATGAGTATGTGATGTGTTACTCTATGGGGTAAGGGCCAGAGGATTATACCTCAGCTGTAGGGAGGAAGGACTACCACTGGAGGTCAAGAGCACAGACTCTGAAGCCAAGCTCCCTCAGTTCAGATCCACACCAGACTGCCTACTAGCTGTGTGTCCAGGGGCAGATTACCTCCCTAGACCTCGGTTTCCTCACCTATGAAATGGGGACTGTTAGAGTGCGTACCTCATAGGAATGTTGTAGGATTAAATGAGTTAAAAGTGGAAAGCAGTTAGGGTAGTACATAATAGTGCCATGTAAGTGTGTGCTTTTTTTATACATAACTATCATTTATGTGGAGATTATAAGGAAAAACGTTTGGGGGAATTTCGATGTCTGTAGTACATATTTATGAGTTGTTCTGTTTTTGCTTTAAGTGAGCATGGATTTTATAAATCCACAAAAAGTTCATAAAAACTTTACAATCAAAAGTAGAACAAAAATGAAGGAGTATATTCACATAATTTATCCAGGGCCCTCTGATAACTCTGCCAATAGTGATTCAGACTGAATGATAAAGTTACACTGTCTAATGTGGAACTCAAACAGTCTGGATTCTTGGCCCAGGAATTTTTTGAAACAGAATATTCTATTAAAACGTTTTGTAGCAGAAACATTGGTTTCATGTTGCAACCTACATCTCTCTCCTTATTTGCAGCTTTCTAAGACCTCTTCTGACTTGAGTAAAATGGCTGCTATATATCTGGTGGATGTGGACCAAACTCCAGTCTATACACACTATTTCGACATCAGTTACATTCCATCTACTGTGTTTTTCTTCAATGGGCAGCATATGAAAGTGGATTATGGGTAAGTTAGGCTGTCATGAAGCTATAACAGTCTAATAAAAGTTTCCTTTTCAGCAGTTTCAGTAACTTACCTATTTGCATGCAGTGGTGGCTAAGTGAGTCTTTTATTGATACTGTCTCTTCAACAGATACTCTAATTTTTTTATGTGCAACTTGGTGCAAAATGAGTATTCTGGCATGATTGGCAAATTTTAATTTCCTACTTAAGTATGAAAGAATAGTACAGGCTATGAAGCACTAATCATCCTTCAGCCTTGAAAATATCAAACCACTTTCTTACAAGTTCCCCAGGGATTTCATTTAAAACAAAATATGTCATTCTTAAACTTTTGGGACTGATAGTTTGCATTTATAAAAGAAGTACTCCTTTCAGCAAACTAAGACATGCTCCTCTCTTGCCAAGTTTCCTGTCTTCTGCCAGGAAAGAAGTTATTCTTTTGTTGAAGTTATTCTTCAACAAAGCTTGTCAAGTATAAGTAACATGAAGTCTTATGTAATGTCTTCTGCCCAATCAGCATCCCAGTATTTAATATTTATATTGAAAATATCCATAATTTTTATTTTTTCTTAATGTGGTTGAGCTATCCTCTTGTCTAGATCTGTGTACCTGCTTTGTCATTATTAGTTTGAAAGGTGTAAAATGTTATGTGTTTTAAGTGTTCTAAAGGTAGAATATGGTTCATTTAAGTATTAATTTGCTGTAATCTTTTCAGAAGGCGAATATTCCCAAATATGACCTCTATCAAGACATTTAGCACGTTAACTACCATGACATTACATACCAAACACCTTACAAGTGTGTAAAAATTTTAATCCAGCAATTGCATTTCCAGGAATTTATTTGAAGAAAAGTAATTCTGAAAGTGGGCAAAATTGGCTCTAGGGATACTTATTTCATCATTGTTTAGGAAGCAAAATACTTAGAATTTAGATGTCCACAAAGGGATACTAGATACCAATTTACTCTGATGTTGTAGATGCATGGTTAACTTTGAACGAAACATATGTTTTTTAAAAACCACATTGCAAAATAGAATGTGTGATATAATTCCCGTTACTGTGAAAAAAAATGCACATAGAGACACATATACGTACGTATGATTGGAGGGATATATACCAAAATGTGGCAACTTTTTTTGTCTTGAAAAATTTCTGCAATGAACATACTTGATGTTCAAAATAGTGAAGAAAAAAAAGGAAGAAGGAAAGAAATTAATACCCACTACTCAGAAATGGAAGTGACTGGAACTTGGAGACCACGACTAGGGCTTTGCACAGTGCCTAGCCAAACACAACAACAATGAAACAAGCTATGCCCACACCAGTACTCAGGGAATTGTACTTGAGAATGAGTTGAGAAATGGTTAAAATACATTTTGAGCAGAAGCTTTTCATATGATAGAGCTTACGTGCTATTCCATGCCCACAGCTCTGGTTTTAGCCGTGTATCAAATGGGCCCTGTAATTGCAAATGGAAAAATCATTGTTGGGCCTTATGGCTAAAGTCTCCCTTACAGGAAGAGCTACTGTTCGTTTTGTTTGCCCTGAAGGTCTTCAGCAAGTAAATATTCAAAGTTCTGAGCCAGGTTGTTTCTCTTCTGTGCTACCTAGGTCTCCAGATCACACTAAATTTGTGGGAAGTTTCAAAACCAAACAAGACTTCATAGATTTGATTGAAGTAATTTATCGAGGAGCAATGAGGGGAAAACTTATTGTCCAAAGTCCAATTGATCCCAAGAATATTCCCAAATATGATCTTCTCTATCAAGACATTTAGCACATTAACTGCCGCCAAAGCTGAAGAGAAAGTCCCATCTCGAAACGGTACGCGAAGGCAGCTGTGCTGTTTTCCGGATCCTTTGGAAAGGTGCTCAGCGTCCCAGTGGAGAGAGGTTTGACTCGTATAGAAAATACTGGCCTGAGTGGAAGACCCGCGGGACTGTGATGGCCTGGGGAGCCTAAGTGTTTATTCCCCACAAACGTCAGAGCAGTCGAGTCAACTGTGGTCAATTTCCCTGCATGATTTGTTTGACTTTTCTTTATATTGTGCTTTTTTTTATCTCTTAACATAATACAGAATTTTCCTAAACATTGGCTAGAACAATTTGATTTAACTATATTTATTTAACGCACAAGTAAATTGGAAAGAGCAAAAATACTTATTTTCTACTCTATATGTACATACACACACCTCTTTCTCACCCTCAACCTTGCCCATTCCTCCACCCACATATTTCTATTACTCATGCTCTCCGATCTCCAGTCCTAATTATCCCAGTTTCTCTTGGAATGAGTAATTCTCCACTGATAGCAGGCAAGTTTGTTTTATTTTGGAGCCTTCCTGGTTCACACTTCGAAAACAGTGTCCTGGTTTGCAAATTTACTAGCTTTTGTGCTATTAAATTACCCAGGAAGTGAGACTTGAACCTTTACCATCCAGCACCCAATTTGAGCTAAACAAAGAATTAACTACCCTTAGCAAGTAGGAACAGAGCTCTCCCAGAAGTCAGAGTTCCACCTCTTCCTGAGACAAAACTGCTTCAAGGGCTCATGACTAGAAAGAGTGAGAGGATCAGAATTGTTAGAAAGCGTAGGGGCTGCTTTCCCCACTTGGAAGAAACCTACTCTCTACAGGAGTCTGCATTCTTGTCGTATTTAGCTTGTTAATACTAATAAAGGAAGAGAGCCAAAGGGAAGCCAGACATTGGAAGCATGGTCATCTGGGCAGCTTTGCCAGGAAACTACAGGTTCACGCTCCCCAGGGAACCACCATGCCATTCCCTGCAGATCACGGGAAAGGATCAAACAAAAGGGGAGGTGGACAGACAAAGGGGGAGATGGGCGCCTGTGCAGTGAAGTCGGTGATGTAGGGGAGGTACTTATCTGTCAGTCCAGCCTGGGGAGCAATGGATTGGCTAGGAGGGTGGAGCCACCACAAGTGCACAAAATCTTGGAAGGTTAAAATCCCCAAAGAGTTCCTTCTCTCTTGCTCTTGCTTGCTCTCTTGCTCCATGACCCACGCTTGCCCGTGCCTTCGCCTGTTCGCTCTCCATTGCTGTGGCCTTAAGCAGCTGAGTGGCCTCTGGCTATGCAGATTCGCACACAGCGGACTACAGCTAGGAGCTCAAGCTAAGCAAGCCGGATGCTGGACTGGACTTTAATATGGAGCAGGAACTCTGGTCAGCGGCCTTCATTCTGGCCCTGCTGAAGACAAGATTGGACTTCTTCCACGGCGAGACGGACAGAGATGGGACCTTGGAGGAGAACCCCCTTAATTTTACATCATTAATACAGCTTTCCAGGAAACCTCATCCTCTCGCAGGGACCTCAGGAAATTTTTTCCTCGCAGCACCCCAAGAACTCCACTGCCACCGATAACAAACGCAAGCCATCTGAGTTTTCCATTTCACAAAGAAATGCTCTTCAGGGACTCCCATAAGAAAGATTCCAGAACCCTTTCAGACAGGAAGCTCTTTTTCTAACTGAACTCTTCTGCTATAAACCTTTAGTACATCGCCCAGCCAGCATGGCTCAGTGGTTGAACGTCGACTAGGAGATAACAGTTCGATTCCTGGTCACGACAAATAACCAAGTTTCGGGCCGATCCCCAGTGCGGGCACACAGGAGGCAGCCGATAAATGATTCTCTCTCATCATTGATGATTCTGTCTCTCCCTCCCTCTCTGAAATCAATAAAAATATTTTTTAAAAAAATAAGGATGCAGCAAGGAGCTCAGCGTTTGTATTCAGACAGACCTAGATTCAAGGTTCGACCTTGCTACTTAATAGCTGTATAACCTTAAGCAAATCGCGTAACTTCTCAGAGTCTGTGTTCCCTGTCTGTAAAACAAGGGTAATGATGACCTTTCTGAGAGCTGCCTCAGTAGGCACTCTGTCAGTGAGTGTGACCGGCAGTGGGACAGTTTGTACCACCATAGGGCTTTCCAGTCGGCCTGCAGTGTTTTCTGACACATTCCCAGTACACGCTGTGCCACTTGGCTGCTGCTGTACCATAAAGGAAAGGATAAAAAGGTCCAAGCCCCCCGGCCCCCAAAAAAGAAAAAAAAAACACAGAAATGAGTGAAAAGAAAGCTCTTTATTGTTTGCCTTAGACATGCAGGGCTGGAGCCCATCGGTTTCACACCAGCTTTTATCCCTCCACCCACATCCAGTTTCCCCTCTTCCAGAGTGAAATCTAGCACACGTTAGTTGTCGGCCGTGGTTTTCTGAATCCAGTCCAGGATGGAGTGCACCTTCACATACACACCGTACTCGGCCACACTACAGCTCTTATCAAAGCTCAGGATACCCGCCGCATACCAGGTGTCGTCATCAGTGTCATGGACAGCAAAGGCACTGCCAGCATCCCCAAAGCAGGTGTCCTCCTCGTACTTGGACAGGCCAGCGCAGAAGGTGTGCTCGTTCAGTATGGGCTGCACCCCCACAGGGCTCTTGGGCTCCTTCTTTTCGGGCACCGTGCTCTTTTCATAGTGCCGTACACAGTTGTCCTGGTCAGCCACAGGCAGCATGACGTACTTCAGGAGCTGGGTGAAGTTAAAGTTGGCGTTTCGTCCCCAGCCAGACACATAACCCATACGATTCACTTCCGCATAATCTTTTGAAGGTAGGCAGATGGGCATTACTTTCTCACCAACGGGCACCTTCTGTTTGAGTTTAATGAGCCCGATGTCAACCTCGAGGTAGTTAGGGTGGAGAATCACCTTCTCAACCTCCACAAGCTGCTGCTTCCCCACATAGAGTCTTAAAGTAGGGGCAATATCTTTTGCTTTTGCACCTTCCTCATGACCCAGGAAGAGATTCTTAGCCGTGGTCAGCAGCCATTGCTCGCTGATGAGTGTGGCCCCCGAGGTGAGGTTATGTTGTGAAATCATCTTGGCCTGCCAGGGAAAGCTGTCTTTGGCATCCACCGAGCCACCCAGGATCCGCTGGACCTGATCTACCGGGTTCTTGGGCTTCCCGCACACTGTCAAGGAGAGCAAGGAAATCATGAGAAACACGAGAATCTCCCCGTCTGGGAGGGGGGAAAGCTTCGGCTGTCACTGCAGTCTACATGATCATTGTTCATCTCTTCCGAGCCAGGCATGTTTACACGCTTTGCTTTACCATCTGTCCTCTTGTTTCCAGTGTTTACCGTCAGTTGTTTCTATCGCTAAGGCAGAGCTCCATTACTGCTTTCCTAACTCACCAAAGAAACAAGTAATGCTGAGATTGAGAAACCCTGGCTGATGAGCTGTATGTATATTCAACAGTTTGCCACAACAAGGACATGTCCACCATTCCTTGATATTCATTATAACTCATTCTCTCTGAATAAAGAGGGATCTATAATAGCATTGGCCAGAACTCAGATACTGCAATTAATACAAGGCAGGTTAGCAGTTCCACACCACTAATAGCAGAAGAGGGCAGGCAAAACCCTTCTGTTCCAAGAGGGAAAAAGAGCAATAGCTCTTCCTAACGACAAGAAACAGAAGCCCTATCCATCCAGCCTTCTGTCATCCTTCCCTGGATTAGGGTTAGTTACGTCCTCCCTGATAGTTCTTCCTGGAGCTGGCTTTACCCTGGGACCCTGGCTCTCTGGGTTGGTTGTCTGTACACTTAGGGTCTCCGGACCTCCTGGGGGCAGTGTATACAGTGGGTTACGTCAATGCCCTGCAGGCCTGAATAAGCAGGAACCTCAGTGAACTTTTTAAGGGAATCATCACCTAACTGCTCAGTTCCCTGCCAGCCATTTGTGGTTCTCCCTGGTCCCAGGTCTTGGCTTTCGTATGCTCAGGAGAAGCCACACAGGAGGGGCATGTGCCTCTAGGACATTCCGACCAATATCCCTGCCCAAGCACTGAACCCTCAACGCCTGTCCTTGGTCTGCTTCCCAGGCCCTCGGCTTCCTACCTGCTTCACACTCAGGAAGTTTCTCTCCAATGGCCTTGTTTGTCCACTTCTTCTCACTGTTTAAGGTGTACACTCCTGCAACAAAAGGAAAGAGATGAGCCAAAGGAGAAACTCAGTCTGGACCTAGTGTGGGAGAGAAGGTATTTAAAGAAAAAAATTAGGAAAGGAGAAGGAAGGTGAGGGAGGGGCAGGGGAGAGGAGGAAGGGAGGATCACTGTCCTAGAAGCCAAGTGCTGGGCCCTAGCGAAGCCCAGCAGGACAGAACCGTGGTCATGGTGAGGCCATGCAGGGTGGGATCAGGGTCCAGATCCTGCCTTTACCTCTTGCAGGCTACCTGACCTCTCTGTGCCTCAGTTTCCTCATCAGCAAGTAATAATAATAGCATCTTTGTAGAGGGGTGTTATGAAGACTAAGTGAGCAAATAAATGTAAAGCACTTACAACAGTGCCAGGAAGGTAAGGACTTCCAGTGTCATCACCATCACCATTGTTGGTTCTTTTGCCACATCCTTTGCCAGACCTACATGTAGATCTCACTCTGATGGGTAGGCTATGTGGCATCCCCTCCCCTTAACAAAAGACAAAGCTTGAGGCTGAGCAAAGTTAATTTGCCCAAAAGGCCACAGCACTGGGAACAAAACCCCTTATTACAATCTGCATCTCCTGGCTCTGAGGATAACCCATGAATTTCCTAGCCAGTCACCCTGACTCCACTCATCATGGAAATGCCAGGATGAGGAGGGCACAGGGACACTTGTCCAGGTCTTACCATCGCCTTCAGTGCGCAGCCTGTAGTAGGTCTTACACTGATAGCGAACCGAGTGCTCCACGTAGCCATTTGCAACCTCAGGGGCCTTTGGGCAGCTGTCATCTGCAAAGAAAAACAGGAAGAGGAGGTTAATATTCAGAAATGGCTCTCAGAGACCCATGAAAAGTCAGATGAGAGGAAGCTGCTCTGTACGTCAACCTTCCTCCATCCCAAGTGGAAGCCATGCAGTGGGCAATCTTTCCTTATTTCTGGCTGGCTCTCCAAGGTTTTAACAGTAGTGAAAGGCCAGCGAGTAGGATGAGAAGAGGGTATCTGGGTCTCCTGAAGAAAGGGTGCAGATCTCACAGGGTCAGCCACAACAGGCGCTGGGGTGCACAGCGTCTGCCCAACGCAAAGACCTACCTGCATTTTCTGTGTTCTCGTTGACCGTGTCCACTGCAAAAAGCTGCCCCCAGAGCAGGAGGGTGACGACAGTTCCCAGGGCGCTGCAGAGAGAAGACAGGAATGAGTGCAAAGCTGCTCTCCCTGCTTCACCCTTTCACCCCCCCACACACACCTCCCTCCCTTTAGGCAGCCAGGGAATAAAATAGCCACATGCAAGCACTGGGACCCACCGAATACATCCTTTGCAGCTTCCCAGTACCCCCAGGCCCAGCAAGCTCTCTGCTGCTGGGAATTCTCCATAAGCCTCAGACAGGAACCACCAAGATAGGAAGGCACACAGGTATGTGGGCCTCAATTCCGGCAGCATTAATCTAGTAATACATGAGCTCTCCCGCAAGGAGAAGCTTCCCTTGGGCACCTCTGGAGTGCCAGGCTACGAGGACACTGCAGATAAAATGTGGACTGCGAAGCCGGGAACGTGGGGATTGACTGTGCCAGTCTCTCCACTTTTCAAAATTCCCCATAAGGAAAGGGTTTTAAATATTTCATTTAAAATACTTATATAGTGTGTGTCTTATTTTGTGATCATTTGTCTTCATGAAATGGCATATCAAACCCCAAAATGCCAGCAGGTTCCCTGGAGGGTAACTGGCTCCCTGACAGCAGAGCAGACACGGGCATCGATGCACAGGCCACACCTGCCAGTTACTCATCTCACTGACAGATGTCAGCTCCTCGGGATTGCTTGCTTAAGTTTCTAGTCTGGCTACTTCAACATTTCCGAAGTCTTTTTATTTTTATAAAATCGAAGTGCCTTAATTGTGTCGTCCAAATATGCCACTATTGGTCTTTCTTATTACACATTTTTTAAAGGAAAAAAATCTAATAAATACATTTAAAATCCCAGCTACTGTCATCTCCTACAAAGATGAAAACTTCACAACCTCTGCCCTAGGTGGTTTTTCTCAGTGGTTAGAGCATTGCCTGTGGACTGAAGGGTCTCAGGTTTGATTCCGGTCAAGGACACGTACCTCTGTTGCAGGCTTAATCCCTGGCCCCAGTTGGGGCACATGCAGGAGGCAACCAATCGATGTGTCTCTCTCACATTGATGTTTCTCTCTCTCTCTCTGTCTCTCCCTTCCTTTCATTCTCTCTAAAAAAAATCAATGGAAGAAATACCCTCGGGTGAGGATTAGCAACAACAACAAAAAAACACAACTTTACAACCTCAAGAAAAAAAGATATTTCTTAAAATAAGTCACGTCTCCTGAGAAAGACGGCAGTATCAGAAGGCATTACCTCTTATGGGTGCAGAGAAGCAGAGGACTGAACACACTGCGCCCTTCAGTTCACTATAATCTAGCCCATTTACCCTATTTCTTCGTTGTATTTTTGCATCTGTTCTGTAGGCTTGTCATGCAGCTAAGAGAGGTATGCGAAGGAGGATGAGATGAGGAACAAGAGAAGGGAAGGAAAGTGGGCAGAGCTGTGGACTCACCGCATCTTTGGTTGGTCCTGCCTCTGGAAGAGCAGTGCTGTGGGGTGCAGCTGCTGGTGCTTTTATGCCTGTAATATCTCACCCACCCCTTCCGGATGTTGTAACCCTGTGTCTACACAAGTTTGACCTTGTTAAGGACACTGGCGTTTTCCAGTAACAGAGCCACAAACATCCCCGTTAAGAGTGGAGCTCTTGCCTCACGCTTGAGTTTCCCTGGTGTTCTTTTACAAACCCAAAGACACCTGGCCCCATCATGACCCCAGGTAGCTGCCAGAGCGTTTCCCGAAATCAGCCGCTGGGCGGGCTGGGGAAACAATCGATCTGCACCTCCTTGTTTTGGAGGGTGAAAGCCCTGAAAAAAGCCCTTCTTGGGGGTTACTTCAAACCCCTACGAACACTCCTGCAACCGGGCTGAGATGGGGCTCTAATAAAGAGAGCATTTCCTTTTCAAGTATTTCCCCCATCCTGTGTTGACATCTTCCTATTACTTCAAAGCTTTCTAACCTGAAATCAGTGAAATGTATGTATTGTCTTCTCTGATTGCTGTTTGGAAGAAAACACACAAAATTGTTAACACAATAGTGTGGACTGGCACATACCATACTCAATGGTAGTGGTTCTCATGGTTTTATAGACCAGTAATTAAGACACATAGGCAGATGAGAAGGTGTATATGCTTCAGTCAAATGTTTGCACCTGCTTATCCCAATTACTTTTCAACTGAAATTA